TATATTTTAGAACCTCTTATTCATATTTTTAATATGTCTTTAAGTACAGGAATTATTCCATCTGATATGAAAATAGCGAGAGTCACCCCAATATACAAAAAAGATGATGTTCATAATTTAGGCAATTACAGACCAATCTCAGTTTTAACTTTTTTTTCAAAAATCTTAGAACGAATTGTATATAATCGTTTGAATACATTTTTATTAAACAATACAATATTACATTCTTGCCAATATGGATTTACGAAAAATGTATCAACTGAAATGGCTCTAATTGATGTTCATGATTATTTAGTATCTTCCTTAAGTAATAAATTACACACTGTAGGTCTTTTCTTAGATTTAAGCAAAGCCTTTGACTCTATAGATCACAATATTTTGTTAGATAAATTGAATTACTATGGAATAAGAGGTGTTGCTTACACATGGTTGAAAAATTATTTGAATAATCGACACCAAATAGTTGTATATAACAATGTTTTATCTGACCCAATGCAAGTCACGTGTGGAGTCCCTCAGGGCTCAATTTTAGGTCCTCTTTTATTTTTATTGTACATAAATGATTTAAATTATTGTTCAAACATTTTGAAATTTGTCCTTTTTGCTGATGACACCAATATCCTCTATTCTCATAAAGATATTAATATTTTATGTCAAACTTTAAATAATGAGCTGCAGCATGTATCGCAATGGTTCAATATTAATAAATTGTCTTTGAATACATCTAAATCAAATTTTATATATTTTCATTATAAGCAAAAAATTATTTCAGCTGATTCATTGAATGTATTAAATATAAAGATGAATGATGTTCCGATAAAACGAGTGCAATCAACTAGCTTTTTAGGTGTAATTATTGACCAAAATTTAACTTGGAATGCTCATATACTTACCATTTCAAACAAAATTTCAAGAAATATTGGTGTCATCAGCAAATTACGTCATATCTTGCCACAAAGTATTTTGATTTTATTGTATAATACAATGGTTTTACCGTATTTAATGTATTGTAATGTTGTATGGGGCAACACATACCCAACGAGATTACAACGACTGCATATATTACAAAAGCGTATAGTAAGAATATGTCTTATGTCTGATTTCAATGCCCATTCAATACCATTATTTCAACAACTACAGTTTTTAAATATTTTTCAATTGAATCAATATTGTATATCACTCATGGTTTTTAAACATAAAACTGATAAACTGCCGATTAATCTTACCACTATGATGAAATGTAAAAAATATGTTCATAATTATAATACTAGAAATCCTGATAACTATTTTATTGAAAAATGTCCATCAACAACTTCCTTATTTACTTTTAGACACACTGGCCCGAAAATATGGAATTCCCTCCCCAAAGATATACGTGATACTGCTTTCTTAAACTCTTTTAAATCTAAACTAAAAAAATACTTCATCTGTTTTTAAATCTATAATAATATTTGCATGTTAATACGTCTCCTATGTTTTGTACACTGTTTTGTTATTGTTATACTTTTTATAGCCAATTGTTGGAAGTTGTATATGTATCTTTTAATAACAGGGAGCTGCCTCGACAGAACCTTATGGTTTTATTTGCAGTTTCCCCAATTCATTTCTATTGCTGTTTAACTTTTTATAATTCCGATATATTTGTAGACATATATGTTTCCATTTTGTGTGTATTTTGTGTTTTCTATATTGTATATAATCTGTATCTTATATGTTTTTTATGGACTTGAATTGAAATAAAACTTGAACTTGAACTGAACACAAAAAACAACACATGTGCTTTTCATCGTCGCTTACAAAAATGAGTAAACATATTTGTTCATATCCACATTTCAATCCCAATCTCTTCTCGTTATTGCACTTTCATAGCCCCCAAAACAAACGAACAAGTTCAAATGCAGTGAAACCTTTTCCATTAAGACTTTCAAGGAATGTGAAATGATCAATAAATGAAATTATAATTTGTTTAAAGAAACAATACTAGAAAAATATATAACTTTATTTGATACCGAATATACAAATTTTAATGTGCCCAGAAAATAGCATAAAGCAATTATCTTGAATGTCACTAGAGTTGCTGGTCCTTTGGGTCCTTTTGGAGGAACTCCAGGGCCCCTGTGGTCTTCTGTACCAATACCATATTTCACTGTACACAGGTGGGTACCTTAAAAACATAACATTTGGGCAATTTGGGGACCAACTTTCAAACATCAGTCGGTGGCATCCTTTAAGCATCTAATTTTTCTCAAGAAACCGCAATAACATGTAGGTGAACACAATTTTCTTGTTTGAGCCGTCTGAGTACCTATATCAGCGTGTCCACACATAATTTTTTTAATCCTGAAACTTCTATAATGAAACGTCGTTTAAAGAATTATCGTATACATTCCAGGGCGTCCGTGCACACACAAACAAAAATCGTATAAAGAATCATCGTATAAATTCCAGGGCGTCCATACACACAAGAAAGTAATCCCGAAACTCTACAGCGAAACGTCGTACAGGTGCGCAGTTTTCTACTGGGGTCATGAGACGGAAGCGGAAATGAGAGGTCAGGTAGTTGTGTGTTGTTGGTGGAAACGGGGACTAATGCATTGATCGCACTTTCGTACGCAAATCAATTCCATATTGATGGTTTAATACCACAAAGCAGTCGGCATCCATATGTTTATCGCTTCATAATTTGCTGTCAACAGAGGTTTTTAAATTTCCAATTCGTGTGTCCGTGTGTTCACAGGTCTCTGAAGCAGCGAACCCGTGGTCCTTCCAGAAAATACTGTATCTAGCCTGCATATTTCGAGGGTAAGCAAAATTTGATATTATGATCGGAATTTTTCTCTGCGATATATAAGCCAAGGCACAATGCATTACACGAACCTGTTGTTCGCAAAAGTGAGGTTCACTCTTAGTGATTATCTACACCTGTTATTGGGTAAGCAGTTATCGATGTCAAAGCCCCAAGAAAACCCTTTACCATGAGCTTTTAAAATGGTATTATTTGAACGAACCCAGACTATTTGAATAATGGGTGTGGTATCATATGATATGAAATAAGCATCCATTGTTATGATGTATTGCAAATGTAAAAATACTTATTCGGCGAAATGCTGCGGGAAAATTAGAGTTTAAAAAAAGAAAGAAACACAGGAAAAATATTTCGAAGTGTTTGAAATTATCTCCACACAAATGAAGGCAGCAAGGAGGTTCATGAATTTTAAGGTTTATAAATTATTTCCATCCTTTTATACATATAAGTGCAATGGTCAACTTCACCATTTCGACGGCGTCTCTGGAAAGTGTCTTATGGAAGGTGAATGATGACAGAGGACGATGAAACGTAACTGAACCTCAACTTTTTTTTATTGAGCAAACTTTCGGCTTGGCACCAGCTTTCTCCCTTTAGTTCCAGATGTTTCGGTGGGGTCTTGATGTATGTACATACATCACTCCTCCCCACACAAACACACAAACACACACAACCGATTTGTTAAGGAAGCTTTGGTTGTACTTTAAGTATCTTTAACAAAATTAGTACCATATAACGTATCAAGGGTTTCAAATCTAACTACCATCTTTAGGTACCTCGTGTCTCTTTTTGAATATAAATACTGAACTTTGAACAATTTTTTTTTTTCATTTGATATACCAGATTACAGCATGTTGGAAATGATGGAAATTCTCCATCCCTACATCACCGAGGACATTTGTAAGGTGGGCACAAAAGGCTGCTGTCAACATGATGATTAGCCACTCCCACATTCTCGCAATTTCCCAAAGAAAGGTAAAGTCAAATTGACATTATACACACTCTACCTACATGTACGTATATAATATGAAGAGCTTAATTCCAAAAGGAGCTAAGTCCACTTTTGCTGAAAATTGAGTTATTAATATCAGATTATTGTTTACTTGATAAGTACCCGTCTTTTAAAATTTTAGAGCAATTATGAAAAAATGCACCTTTTAATATAACTTTTCCTTAGACGCCTGTACAAAATCTGGTAAACAATTTCTTTTTCTCTCCGAAGTTACAAAAATGGATTTAGCTCCTTTTGGAATTAAACTCTTCATATAATCATTTTTATCCATTGAATTTCATCATCAAAGCCACTTGCCGCAGTGTCATTGATACCCTGTTATTTGTTCATGGAAAGGTCTACTATCAATATTCTTCAGGGTAGTGACGTCAGTATTAATACTGCTCTTCATATTGGCCCTGCAATTCTTACTACCCCTGAAATTGCAAGGTACCCATTTACAGGTGTGTTGAGAGTGGAAAATGTGGATTAACATGAGAATTCTCAACCCTTTGCTCGAGAGTCATGAAAATGAACAGATATATACCACAAAACCTCCACAGGTTAACATTTTCACCAGACTGTTGCCAGTATACTTTATTATGATCTTATTGATAAATGTTGCTGTGTCTCGGACCCCATTTTCCCAGCTATTTTATCATAAATATCGTCAACACCGCCTTTATCAGAATATCTGTGTTGTACAATGTCGGCGAATGATTATTATTTGCATAGAAGAATTAATCAATTTGTTCCTCTTTTTTATACAGAGAACGATCAATCGGAGGATCGAAAGAGTTCGATGAGTTCGATGAATTCATAAATGACAGTAATGAGGATTAATGCGCCACAAAAGGGCACTGGCACATCGACACAGTTTTGATCCTGGGGCCTTACAGTTACGAGACTTTTGCTTTGCCACTGAACCATGACTGTACGCAACGGGGGCTAGGGTAGGGGGCAGTTCCCCCCCCCCCAAAAAAAAAAAAAAAAAAAAATGCAATAAATTATCAATAATTCATTGAATTTCCCCCCGGTCCCCAACAGAAAAATATCTTCTGTGTGCCCATGCCTTGACCAATAATTAATGCATGGCCGTGTTAGTTTAATGCCAAAAATGAAGCAGTCAGAATCTAGTGTATCGCATCATAGTTTGCTGTCAACAGAGGGTTTTTTTTTTAATTTCCAATTCGTGTGTCCGTGTGTTCACAGGTCTCTGAAGCAGCGAACCCGTAGTCCTTCCAGAAAATACTGTAACTAGCCTGCATATTTCGAAGGTAAGCATAATTTGATACTATGATCAGAATTTTTCTCTGCGGTATTTAAGCCAAGGCACAATGCATTACACAAACCTGTTGGTGATTATCTACACCTGTTATTTGGTAAGCAGTAAGTCAAAGTCGGCTTCAAAACTCTCTACCATGAGCCTTTAATATGGTATTATTTTAACGAACCCAGACTATTTGAATAATGGATATGGTATCATATGATATGAAATAAAGCATTCATTGTTATGATGTATTGCAAATGTAATAATTTTTAATTGGCGATATGCTGATGGAGAAATTAGACTTCTAAAAAAGAAAGAAGGTTAGGAAGGTCGTGGATTTTAAGCTTTATAAATTATTTCCATCCATTTATACATTTAAGTGCAATGGTTATTGCAACTTTACCCATTCGGCGGTGTTTCTGGAAAGTGTCTTATCAAGGTAAATTATGACAGAGGACGAAGAAACGTAGCCGAACCTCAACTCTTTTATTGACCGAGCTTTCTGTTTGCCACCAGCTTCCTTCATCTAGTTCCAGATGTTTCGGTGGGGGTTTGATGAATGACCATACATCACTCCTCCCCACCCACACAAACACAACCGATGTGTTAAGGAAGCTGTGGTTGTACTTAAAGTATCTTTAAACAAATTTGTACCATATAACGCATTGAGGGTTTAAAATGAGGTTTAAAACTACCAATACCATCTTTAGGTACTTCGTGTCCCTTTTTAAATATCAATATTTTACTTTGAAAAATTATTGTTGATTTCATTTTATAAACCAGATTACAGCATGTTGGAAACGATGGAAATCTTCCATCCCATCATCACTGAGGACACTGATACGATGGGTACAAGAGGCTGCTGTCAACATTGTGATGAGCCGCTCCCGCATTCCCGCGATTCCCCAAACAAAGGTAGGGTGAAACTGCCACTATACACGCCCTACCTACGTAGTACATATCATTATGTTTACCCAATGAAATTCATCATCAAATCCACTTGCCGCCATATGTCATTGATACCTTGTTATTTTTTCCTGCAAATTATCTAATTGTTTAAGAACAGTATTTCATCGTCGCCATTTGGTATTTGTCCCATGACTATAACCTTCACATGTTTAAGCTTTCACCAGGCTTTTGCCATGATACTGTGTACATATGATCTTATTCATAAATATTGCTTTGAGGACCTCGGACCCCAATTTTCCATCTATCTTATAACTTTTGTCAACACCTCCTTTATCAGGGTACTTGTGTTGTACAATGTCGGAAAATGATTATCATTTGTATAGAAGAATTAATTATTTTCCCCCCTCTTTTATGCAGAGTTCGATCAATCGGAGGATCGTAAGAGTTCCATGACTTCCAACTTTTGCAATTGGTGGCCTGAGTTCGATAATGTTTGGTCAGAGGTAAGAAGCCTTACAGCTCAGTATAAAGGACAGCAAAGACTGGAGATAATCCACAATATCTTTCTTCTGAGAACCAATCTGTGGGGTTCCAAAGTAGCAGATCCTGTAATATCTACTTATTCGTGGCTAGACGATCTGTTCCTTTTGAGGATTGACAATTTAGTTGATGAAACTGTCCGGAAATCCGTGAATTTTCTCTCTCTAGATCAGAAGAGGTACAACAAAAACTTAAACTCCGCGCGTCAGTCTGACAATTCCTACTACTACAGGACCGAAAGTCTGCACAGATTGAAGATTTTACAGGACGAAGATCTGCAGACATCAGAAGAGCTCTACTATCACAGTTTCAAAGACTCGACCTTTCCCCCTGTAGAGGGCGCAATAGGGAGCAATCGTGTCTTTCAGAATGCTCTTCAAGCACTCATTCTTCAAATTTCGCTGATACCAAAAACCGTTCTGCATTGCCGTCATGTTGTCATTCTCATGGTTATCCTTACTCAGGTCGACTGTAAAGGTAAATTATTAAACATGAAATTCGTAAACGTCTAAAATAAGGCAAGTTTAAATTAAAGCAGTGTTTTATCGATAATGTACAATTAACACAAAATATATATGGATAAGGCACCAAAACAGATGCCGGTCGATGTTATTCTTTGATATTCATTAAAATGAATATCGAAAGAATAATCTTTGCGAGCCTATATCTCACGTCTTTTTTCTTCGGAGCAACGATGAAATAAATAATAAGACCCGTAAACGTCGATGCAATTTTTAACCTGAGATGTAGGGTCAAACTTTTTTTCCCTTCACATTTGGTGACAGGAGGTAAGACGATTTAGCACAAGAAGAAGAAACAAATATTTGACACATTTATTTTGAAAATATTTTACCATCACATGGTGAAAGATAACATGGTTTTGATTGCGATTTCAGATATACCTTAGTGAATTGTTCAGACCATGAAGAGGTGACTTTTTTCAACTATTAAATTGAAGGTCACGAAATGTACTTTTAAGTACTCTCCATTAACATTGAAAACAAAGTTAGGATTGACACAAGTTTTGACAAAGTAAAAACAAAAATTATTATCCTGTATGAACCATGATGGCATACATCGATAAGTACATGTATGAACACTTGTGTTATATCAATAGATAAATAAGTATTTAGGGAATATGCGAAGTCCGCCTTGCAAACGTTTGGTATAATTGTAAGGGGTAAGGGAGTTATTAGTCGATTCTCCACTATGTCCTTTGCTTTATAATACATTTGTCAAAATATGCGTAAGTTATTCGTTTTTATCTTTCTTCCTAGATGTTCAAGTACACATCAATTGCACGAGTGCAGCCGTGATTACATCTCCGAATTACCCATCTACATACTCGCAATATGAGAGCATAGCTTGGTCTGTTACTGCACAGGAAGGGAGAATGATCCTTCTGACCTTCAATATCTTCAGTCTAGGGCCTTTGGGTGAATTCACGGTTATAGACACCGTTGACGGTGTAGAAAGGCAGCGCTACAATGGAGAGGAAAACACTATCCCTCCATTTTTGTCCAGGAGAAACAGCTTGCGTTTGAGATTTACATCAGACGGAACTCCTACAGGGAATGGATTCAACATTTCCGCCTCATGCTACGACTTATCAGGTATGGATTTTCGAAAAATGCTTATCAAATAACTAAACTTATCAAGCAACATCTTGTAGTTCATTGAAGACGAGCAATACACTATCACAAATGTTCGGAGAAAGGTGTGTTTGAAGAAAATCGGGGGGGGGGGGGGGGTGGTATATTTACACAAATATTGCATAAAAAACAGCTGGGAGGAATAATCAAACAAATTAAGGAAACATTTGACTTCAACGAAATTTGAATTCCAATATTTATCTTTATCTGTTATTTTGGTTCGATATTTAAAATGCTACTAAGCACCATGATGGCTTTATAATCACAAGCAAAGTAAATCCATTTGAAATAACTATTTTTTTTCTAAGCCACGAACATCCACACATTTTTTCACCTGTGTGCATAATCATCATGAAATGACTCCATCAGGCCAAATACTTGACACTAGCCCTATTAATCTTTTTAATCATTCTAAGGAACACGAGTGGGGCGTCTCGTAGGTGGCAGTACACCAGCAGAGGGCGTCATTGAACTACAAGCCAAATCAGGAGGTGAATGGATGAGAATGTGTGGAGAACACTCAGCTGATCGGGTGGCGGAGGTTGTCTGTCGGGAGCTAGGCTACTGGGGTGCTAAAGAAATTTCCTATGAGGAAGGAGGGTGTTACTCAGAAGGAGCAGACCCGGGCTGTATTCGGGCCCTCAGCTGTAGGAATTGTGAGTAGCTAGGCTTGTTGGTTGTAGTTAAACACAATTAGGGGAAGAAAAAGTTATGGCATTTTAATTTGTACTCGACCATTACAAAATGGTAACTCGGTGACTGACCTTGCACGCTAGTCTCTCATCTGTTTCTTTGTTAACATTCAATATTTGTCCAATTATCCTGGTTGTCGTTGAAGTAGTTAATCTATTTCTTATAAAATGTACCTAATAGCGCGTCCGTTCATGGTGTCAGTCCTTTGAATTACAGTGTTTGTGCTCACCTCTTATTCAATAGGATGTACAACAATTAGACTTGATAATGTTGTACTGACTGCACTTTAACCTAATTCCGTAGTATCAATCGGAATTTCCTTTATTAATGTGCACAAACTATTAATTTGGCTAATCAAATATTATACAGCATCAACATTAAGGTCAGTCACACACTTTTGTCGTACCGTGACAAATCAATTTGTACAGAATGTTAGGCAATTAATTCTACTTTACGATGTGCGTGTATCTTGACAGTCGCATACCGTTCGCAGGATTGCTCTACATCATCTGAATCGTGCACATCGTCGCAGGCGGTCAAAGTCAAGTGCTTTGGTGAGTCTTTGGCTTTAAGAACACGAACGTGTGACTTTTTTTAGGGGAATGGGGGCTGATTCTTTGGTTGTTTGTGGTCTCTTGTGTGAACTTTGAAAGATGCACTGAATGTCAGAATGTTAAATGTTATATGGGGGGGGGGGGGTCCATAAAAATAAGCCAGTAGTTGACCGGTGAAAGAAATATGTGTACGTCAATGTATTATCTATATGCTTATTCATAATTGTAAACAAAAACGTTAAGATTAATGTGTTTTAATCCCCTTCCATGATTTCGTATTTCGATGATTTAGGTTTGAATCCCTAACAAAAGGAGTAGGAAGCTCCCCAAAATTAAAAAAAAACTTCACATGCAAATAACAGGAATTAATCCGATAATACAATGTTATTTCAATTCGAAATAACTACCAGTAAAGGAATCTGACAAAATTAAAATCTGAATTGTTCATCATTGGGGTACGTAATTGCTACTTTACATCATCTCTCCTAGCAATACATTCAACTAACTGAATACGTCCATAGAATGGGCGAAGAAGCAAATATGCGTGTATAATTATGTGTTGTAGATTACTGAAAAGTGTTATCTTTGTTCTTCGGAGTAACTATTTTTCTATAAATCCATATTCATCACAGAGCCTGGATTTAAAGGATGTTATGAGTTAAGAAACACTGAACTCCAGAACGGATCCTCATACAATTCAACCTCCAAGTGTATCACATCGTGCAGAGCGAACACATCCCAGGCTATAGCCATTATCAATGGAAGTGAATGCTTTTGCTCCACAACCGATGAAATCGGACTATCCTCCTTCAGCAAGATGGAAGCCCGGTCATGTGCTCCACATCAGTTAGTTTATAATGGTAAACCGAGAGAGCTACATGTAGATCATACATTGGTTTAGTTTTACAATCCACCTGTAAATTCTGAGGTTGCTTGTATCAGCTTTCAATAAATTTTGAATCGATTGCTTTCCCTTCTATATGGTTAATATCCCTTGTGAATCCCTCTTGTTACGATCCTACTCTGAACCTCACATACTGAATCCCAAAGCTTGACATTTCGAAAGACGGGGACTAAATCGTTAGCCCTAAAGAACCGGGCCATAGTTCTCGAAATTGGAGAAATGGATGGGACACATTATTGTAAAAGATAAATGAGATTAAACAAATTATATCATTTTTAACGTAATCTTTATTTCGCTATGTCTACATACAGTTGTAAGGTTCCAGATGTAATACGTCTTCTTCTTTTTTCTTCTTCTTCTTCTTCTTCTTCTTCTTCTTCTTTTCTTCTTCTTCGTTTTCTCGTTAGCTACTGTTGGCCTCTGCAGTGACCTGGATGACGACTTTCACGGATCATGGAATTCTAACATCACATGGTTTGGTTCCATTGTTCGTCTCAAGTGTGATGCTGGATACATGCTGAATAGAAGTGGAACACTGCAGTGCATAACAAAGATGCCTTCATACCTCCCTGTCTGGAACGGTTCTATTCCAACATGCGAAATGATTACAAGTAAGTTTATAACTAAAACCTTTATCTACAGGTCAAACAAGTTGAATTAAAGAAAAATTGCACATTTTCGAGCGAGGGGATCGGTCATCCGAAAATTGTCATAGAAGTATATTATCAAAACTTATGTAAAAAGTTGTAAAAAGTTGAAAAAGTACAATCGGGTCTACAAATATCAAATTATAAAAGTAAATAGACAGTTATGAATTTCTTTTATTTGCACTTGATCACACAAAATGGCATCTCTGTGATTGAACTTGCGCGCTAAACTCTCATTTTTTCAATTATTGAAATTCCATATTTGTCCAATTATCCTGTTTTTTATGAAGTAGTAGATCTATTTCTTATAAAAAGTCTGTAAAAATATAATTATGTAAAAAAATGTTTCAAGAGTACATATATAAATGAGCGCTTTCGTCATAGAAAAAGTATATTAGTGACATTTTAATGTGCGAAGTGCTTTAAATCCCAGATTTGCCATTTTGTCATATCCAAGCGTAAAATCATGCAAAACTCCCAAGTTTTCGGCATCCTTCACATGATTTTCCTCAACATTGAAAAGATTTAAAATCCAAGATTTATATGTTCTTTTTGGGCCAACCTATACTGTGAGCTTCCCTTTAAACATTATCATTAACGTTAAAGGAAATAAATTGTCGTAAATATATTGAAGGTTTTTAATTATTTTATATTAGGTAGGCTTTATAAGCCTTTCAAACGGATTTCCCCTATAGATTAATATTTTCTGCACACCGACCATGCTCGGAAAGTTTTAAATGAATATATTTCTATCGTGAAATGAATTATTCTTATTCCCGATTGTTGCGATCATCAATACGCTGATTAAAACGAACTTCAATTGTCTTATTAATTGTATAAGATTATCATGAAATTACAAATAACCTTGCAGCAACCACTGGACCAACAACCACGCAAGGTACGTATGACAACATAAATTGGATTCATGAGACCTTGCAATATATACATCACATTGTTATATTGCCGCACTACATGCAGCTGAGTTAGTACTTTGTCATGCATTGTATATGATGCGACAAAGGATGATCGAATGGTGTAAATTGATCTAGGAATTTTGTGGAAGTAATATATATACATATATATCAATATGTAAAACTTGTTTAAAGATGATCAGGTAATCAAGATTTGAACTAGGTAAAACAGATTGCAGAATATACATATCCGTATTTTACTTTATCCCTTTTAATAACCCGACAATGGTCTAAGATTATGTTTAGCTAAGAAAAGGTTAGAATCCAAACTAACTTCCCTCGTTAAAAACGATGTCGAATCAAAGCCTAGGTCCAGAACCGGATTTATATAACGTCTATCCAGCTGACGCGAAATGGAATGACAACTTCGCGTCACTAAATTGAATTGATTTCTCTCTAAATTGAATGAAATAACATTTCAAAGGAATGACATGAAACGAAATTGAATGATCAAAAAATGAAAATGAACCATGAGAGCAGAGAGTAGACAAAAATCGTTCAAACTTGAACGTCTATTCATGAATTTGAATGAAACCTATAGTATATAGGCCAATCTGTTGAAATATGACTTTAAAATACATTTGAAAGACAAGAAAGTGTAGTTCAAATGAAAATGAAAGGCGGAAAATGACTTCCTTACAATATTAGCTGTCTAGGCATTCCATCAAAGAAAACGTCATAACAAATATAATCCTTTGAAAATTCAGTTTGGAAATGGCATATTATACAAAATTCCCATTAGTTGAATATAGGCTTACATGTAACAGAGTACCCACCTCGGGAGGTGATGTCCAGAGCTTATTTTCTCCGAATCTGAAAAACGAACAATGGCCTGAGGGGGCAACTGAAGCTATAGATATAAGTGAATGTATATTACCTTATTACATGTATATGGAGCAGGTTAAGTTTCAAAAAAAAGGAAATAACGATTGCTACCTCCATCGTTCTTTTCTTAATGGGAAAATTGATATCAAGACTAAGAAGCCATGTCTAACATGAAATTTGAATTACACTACTTTTGCAGCGCACAAATCTTGTATACTAATATAATGATTTTGTTTGTTTTTTCATTTTTGTTCATTTTGAACTATGTAACAAAAAATAAACCGAGACATTTATCAACATTACAAACTGAATTGACAAAAGACTTAACTCCGTTTCGTTGACGATCACCCATAGACGAATGAATTCATGCGTGCCTGATTTTCAACGAAACGGAGTTAAGTCTTTCGTCAATTTTGCTTGTTGCTACGGCAGGCGGCCAGTGAAATGAACTGTTAAAATCAAATCATGGAAATGCAAGCATCACTTCAAACAAACAGAACTTTGTTATTCCCTGCTCATTTTTCCTGATTGAGGTGCCATATGAAAGGGCAGGAACTCAACTTTCTAGAAATGTGATTTTCTATTTGAAATTCAGATACCGTCCGCCAAATGACTTTTTGGTTTCCTCTCTTCAAATTAATTTTAATCCCTCATGCGTGGAAATGCATCATAATTGTTGCATCAAATGAAAGAAGAGGATCTAAGCTTTACAAATGTGTGTCATTTATTAATTATAGTTGTGATTAAGTTATGATAAGAAAACGATATATTCTCGGTTTCGTATTTTTCTTGGACGCACTGTACATTCTAAACTGAAGGCGTCTTTGCATTTTGCGCGAAGGTAGAGCTATGATTGACCTGTCGCTAATTACAAATCAGCGTGTAGAGGCGAATAATCTTAATGTGCCCAATATAATAGTTTTGTAAACATGAATAATTTACATTGTTATTTCTACTAGCAACCTGATTTCTTTTATAGCAAACTTTTATCACACAAGTACAGCATCTAGATATTATGGCTCCCAGCACGACACTTCCTCGTTCAATTCAACATCTGGTGCTGTCAGGCGCGTACGCAGGATTTTTTCAAGGGGGGGGGGGGTTTAACATTTATAAATCGGTCCTAAAATTTCGCAACGACTCAGCCAGCCGCTGAATAAGCGGGGGGGGGGGGGGGGGGGGGGGGGGGGGAGGGGGAGGGAGGGGGGGGGGGGGGGAAGAGGATTTTTTTTTCTTTGGTCTCGAAATTTTTAAATTTTACATTTTGCTCAGTTGGGGGGGGGGCGTAAGGTCACCTTTTTTAGGTCGGTCGTGGGAATAATTTTTTTTTTTTTTTTATAACATTAAAAAAAAAAAAAAAAAAAAAAAAATTCTAAAGGGGGGGAGGGGGTTTAGGTTTTTTTGGGGGGGTTTTCATACATAAAATTACCAAAGGGGGGGGGGGTTAACCCCCCCCCCCCCCCCCCCCCCCCCCCCCCACCCCCCCCCCCCCCCCCCCCCCCCCCCCCCCCCCCCCCCTGCGTACGCGCCTGGGTGCTGTACGTGTAAATCAAGTTTACGAAATTTATGGACAGGCCTTATCATTACAATGAAGAAATTATGTGTTGAATTGGACGAAATGAGGGTAAATTTCTATCCAAACAACTTTCGGGCAAAATCTTGTTGAATGCCAAACGTCGACAATTGTTTGCATTTCACGATCAAATACTACACATCCAATAGTAATCACCAGAAATGTAATAGCATTTACAAAAAGCACAAGCCCCAACGTTGGTCAGACACACTCGCCAAGCTAACATTTTGCATTGTCCTTATGTGTTAACAATAACATTTTATCGAAAATAATATCGCTAGTGATATTCGTTTGTCTCGCAATGTGGTCAATAAGGAATCTAAAAGATCACGACGTTTCGTGCGCTGTTGCAACACTTCGCCAGTTGATAAAAACTAATGTAAGCAAGCGTCTTTTATACACAGCGGCGCACGAAACGTCGTGATCTTTTAGATTCCTTATTCCGCAATGAGTAATATATTTAGCATTAAGAACATTTTACGTTGCATATTTTATTTCTTACACGCTCGGATGCCGTACATTAAATCTTGTGGAAGCAAAACTTGAAAAAGGAAGAGTTACATGGCGGGGGAAATTATATTTATTTCATAAAAGCCGTTTTTTCTTCAGTGTTTCCAGAATATCAGAATGATGACACGATAATAGCACATATTCAATACAAAAAGTTCATTACATTTAACCGTTGATACTAAGATCTTTATAATTAAAACGTAGAGAGATTATTTGCATGCTGTTTGCAAAACAACATTTCTTTTGGTACAAGGTATTTTTAAATTTTATATCAGATGTTTATCAATCTGTTTGGGATATAAGGCTGACGCCTTACAACTCCTTGGTCTTTTCATTAAAGGGAATGGGTAACTTTGTCTCAAATTCTGAAGCAAAATCCTGGATTTAGCTCATGCTGTAATGATAATTATTAATCCTTAGGTCAGTCAGGAACCCACTGACTTTTACGAGCCGGTCGCCTGTCTGATTATCAAGATATTTACAATAAGAAATCGTAATTTAAAAATTCGTTTTCCTAACGGTTTTTATAACATCACAGTGTATTAGGGAAAATGAGTATGGAGTAACTGGTCACACAAAGATTTTTACTTTTTTGAGGCAGTGTATTTTTTGTAGGGCTTCAATATTACACCATATCACAGGCACTGATAGCACGTAGGGCCCTGCATCTCAGATTTAACATTGTTAAAAATTGCCTTTAAAGCAAAACTCAAACATGTACGCCACTAACGAATATGGGATTGAACTTTTCTACTTATTTTCATGATTTATAGATAATACATCATGTACCTACGCTGAAACAACACAGGGTAAGATATATACACATTCTGAGCCGTTTTCGCAGGATATGGCACCACCAGAGATGGGAATGATTTCGCATAATTACCACTTCCATGCTATTTTAGGCAGTTTTTCTGATCGTATTATTTATTTATATTTTAGTAGTAACAAACCATAATCATGTAACCTGCATGTGACGTCAAGTACCATACGTTATCCTCTGGAGTGGCAATCCTGTCAGATGCCATTTTTCGTTTATTTTCACCTCCAATCGCTCATACCCAATATCTTACACCTTTTCAGGTTGTTTTGAGTTTTCGGAAGGAGATGACCTACATCATGATGACACCACCATCATTGAAGGGGAAATATTAAACCACATAATCTAAATTCGCCCTTTTTTTCTAAGGTTTTATGAATTCCTATTGCTCGCTCTAAATATTCCAAAAATTAAACCTACGGGAATTCCATTACGTAACATTTTTACTAGTCATCAGACAGCCAATTTCCAGGGGCTAAGGCAGTGAGATCACGTAAATTATGGAGATTGAAGTGAATTGCACCCGCAAGCACTGATTAAAAAGACCCTGTTGACAGAAAGAAAAAATACGGAAAAAATTGACCTTTCAGATGTTGGTGAACAAGCCTATTGGATAAACATAAAAAAGTCACTTAGAGGGCAATCTAACCCTTATAATAACTAATAATAACTAATAACCTCATTTGTATAGAAGCATAATAATAGGACGAAAATATGACGAAAGTGTGGAATAAATTAGGCCAATAATACGGGAGTTAAGCATGTTTGAAATATAAGATCACTAAATCTATACAAATCAGAAATTAGCAAGGAGATTGTGACCTAATAATGATGTACACCGCATGCATGCTGTAATATTATTGCTTGGTTAAGCCAGGAGGGGCTACGCGCCTGCCTCAACCTCCTTCACGCGACCAGTGTCGGTTTACTTTGTTGCATACATCTTTTCTATCTATGTCCATGTTGCCTCTTATGTGTGGGCAAGGGCGTCGCCAAGGGGGGAGGGGGGGGGTGTGGGGGGTGCGACACCCCTCCACCTGTCAGGATATTGTTGGTAAAATTGCGCTGCCGTCGGGAAAAAAGAGAAAAGGGGGAGGGGAAAAAAAGGGAAAAAGAAAGAAAAAAGAAAAGGAAAAGAAAAGAAAGAAATGAAAAGAAAGGAAGGAAAAGAGAAAGGAAAGAAAGAGAAAAAAGAAAAAGAGGGAGAAGAGGAAAGAAAGGAAAAGAAAGAAAAGGGAGAATAGGAAAAAAAGAAGAAAAAAGAAAAGAAAAGGGAAACAAAAGAAACGGGGGTGAAGAGAGGAGAGAGGGGGGGGGGTAAGAGCCTGAGAAAGGAGGAGTGGGAGTAAAAAAAAAAAGGGGGGGGGGTTGTGGGTGAAGTCGTCTCGTCAAGGAAGGAAGAAAGACATGGGTAAATATGTTGCTGTGTCGGGTCAGCTGTGTCGGTATTCTTGCTCGATCCTCGTGTACTATGTCAATGCAGAAGTTTGAAGTCGGTGAGATGTTTATTGTCGGTCGGCCGACAAGTTTTTTCCCCTACGAACTGTGAATTTTATCCGCTGTGACGACTTCGAGAGTGACTACAACTAAAATACTTGTATTTTCTCGACGTTTCACTTTCCTATACTATCAGCTAAGGAAATCAGAGGTTTAAATTTTTAGGGGAAACTAATTCAAACAAGGATTAAGAGTCAACAACGGTACGACGAATCGTCTTCCTTTCTCTATAATTATGTTGATGAAACGCCAAAATTTCCACGCTTCGCGCGGGTGGGGAAAACTTTATTTAGACGAGTCGAGAACGGTACAGCGAATCGTTTTCTTTCCCTAATAATCCGAGGAAACGTCTAAGCTTCCGCGATTCGCGCAGAGGGGGGGGGGGGGAACTGAATTCAGATAAGGATTAAGAGTCAAGAACAATACAACGAATCGTTTTCCTTTCTCTATATTTTGATGAAACGCAAAAATTCACGCGCTTCGCGCGGGAGAGGAAAACTTCATTTAGACGAGTCGAAAACGGTTCAACGAATCGTCTTTCTCTCATAATTTAAGGAAACGTCACAGCTTCCGCGCTTCGCGCAAGAGGGGGAAACTAAATTCAGATAAATAGAGCTTAATAAGAGTCGAAAACGGTGCAACGAATCGTCTTCTTTCTATAATAATTAAATCAAACGTCTAAGCTTTTCGCGCTGGAAGGGGTAAACTGAATTCAGACAATTAGGGCTTATTAAGAGTCGAAAACGGTATAGCGAATCGTCTTCTTACTCTAATAATTGAATGAAACGTCAAAACTTCCGCGCTTTGCGCAGGAGGGGGACATTTCATTAAGACAAGGATTAAGACTCGAGCACGGTTCAACGAAACGTCTACTTTCTCTAATAATTTAATAAACCGTAAAAACTTGCGCGGGAGGGGGGGAAACTGAATTCAGATACGGATTAAGCGTCGAGAACAGTAGGCCGACACCGAATCATCTGCTTTTTCTCATGAATTAATGATACGTCAAAGCTTCCGCGCTTCGCGCGGGAGGGGGAGAAACTGAATTCAGATAAGGATTAAGATGAATTCGAGAACAGTACACCGAATCGTTTGCTTTTTCTCATAATTTATGAAACGTCTAAAGCTTCCGCGCTTCGCGCGGGAGGGGGAGAAACTGAATTCAGACAAGGATTAAGAGTCGAGCATGGTTCAACGAATCGTCTACTTTCTAATAATTTAATACAACGCCAAAACTTCGGCGCTTCGCGCGGGAGGGGAAGAACTGAATTTAAATAAGGATTAAGAGTCGAGAACAGAACACCAAATCGTCTGCTTTTTCTCATAATTTAATGAAACGTCAAAGCTTTCGCGCTTCGCGCGGGAGGGGGGGGGGGGGGGGTGAACCTCATTCAGACAAGGATTAACAGTCGAGATCGGTACAATATATCGTCTTCTTTTCCTTATAATTTAAGGAAACGTCTTCGCTGCCACGCTTCGTGCGGGAGGCCGGACACCGACACCCCCCTAATAAGCGCGCTTCGCTTGCTCACTACCGCTCCTCCCTAAAATAAGATCATAGCTCCGCACCTGCATTAAAATATACAGCTTTGATGTTGACTAAGTTGACGAAATAATTCGTATATATAGGTCGTCGAGGAAAATGATCATTTGCGCATACGCAATTACTATAGATAGTCCATAGGAAAAACAGTTAAGACTTCGGCCCCGGATTTACAGGGTTAAATTTGTAGATATTGGGATATTTAATTTTGTCGGTAATTGGTTGCTATTTTTGTCGTGGTTATCAAAAAAAGCACATTCAACTCCCGTGTCACATGTCCTTTGATCCAGTACTTTGTACTTCGAGTGCAAATAAAATACTTTTATTTGAAAAAAATTGCCACGGCAAACTCAAACCTAAAGAAATTTGCACCCACTCATCCATCAATATTCAGAATCTGGATATCTTGATATGTTTATTATGAATGGTTTTGTATATGATTACTTTTAAAATGCTCACTAGAACACCATTTTTGTCTTAATGATTTGTTTTTTCACAGGACAGTCTGTTGTTTATAAGTTCCTTTTCCTCGCCACTCCTAGAAAATAACTAGATAAATGTATATATATATATATATATATATATATATATATAAATATAAGAAATAATTTAATTTGGAAATTCTTCTGCACGGTTGTAGAAAGAGTTAAAGGTAATACAAAGTTTTGGTAAATTTTGAAAATTGGGTGGATAGTGATTCTTTACAACTTTAACATATTTGGATGCCCATGTGGATGTATCATAAGCACTAGGAAATTTAGCCCCTAAAACACTTCTGCTTTCGAAAAAAATTGAATATAAAAATTTACCGGTGCTCCCGGTAAATTTTGATAAATTTCAAATAGCGCCTACGGCCGTAAAATGGAAGCTGCTACCATGAAAATCTCAGAATATGTAGTTGTAATATAAATTTTTAAACGGGAATAGCTAATCCGTCGATTTTTGTCAAGAAACATTGTTTTATAACTTAATTAATATCTTGACCTTGAGAGGGAGCTATACAACATAAAGAGTTTATTATTTACAATTTCATAGCTTTAGACTCGATTTCAACCGCGACAACGATCACTGAATATTGTAGGATCGCATATGCTTCCAATATGTTCATTTGAACCAAATTCATGACCCCATACCAAAACTTTGTATTACCTTTAATATAAAGGTTGTTCCCACTATATTATACTTGTATATGGATTGCTCTATAATGTCTATGAAACGTTCCATTCTGCTGCGAGACCGAAAAATTCCTTACGAGTCTCACAGTGAAGAGAGTTCAGGAGTCAGCAAAAAGTATTTGTTGTGATAGTTTACACCTCGTAACATTAACACGAATAACTACCAACTGATTATCGATGTTTTCACTTCTTATCTTGTTCGTTTAAACACATACGGAACAACATTTAGATACTTCTCACTCGATGACTAGTGAAAAGGGTAATGCAGCTATAGCCATTTCATCCTCCATGATCGCTCTCTTCACCACTCTCCCCATTTGCATCATATGTGCTGCTGTCTGGTACGTTGTTCTTTACTTTTTAATTCCATAATCAGTTTCTGCAAACTATTACTATATTTGATATGCAATCATTTATAATTGACGAATTGGCGCGATAAGCCTCTTCCTTTTCAAAAGTTTGTCCACTTTCGACATACGGTATTCGCTTTATTCCCTTAAACAACGAGGATATGTCGTAGAAGAATGGGAGCACTGCGTTGGAGAGATTGGAGACTGAAGACGGAATAACGTTGACAAAATCACATTGAAATACATAGGCATATCAAAAACAGTCGAAATATAACTTGTGGTGTAATTTTGACGAGCGTTTTGCGTTTCATTTCAGTAAACTTTTTAAATGAATTTGGTTGAAATAAAAAAAAACTTCATAATTACCATACATAGACTTTCAGTGACCACATATTGACTGGATTGGAATGATACCTGAAGGTAAGATTTGTAACTTTTTGCCCTTGGTGAATGTGTTTGTAAAATCTAAGCAGCATGGCTATCTGCAATCTATTCCAAACTCAATTGCATGCATTTATAATCATTCGGCATTCATTTTATAGAAGTGGCATAACTACAAAATATAAAGAACAGATATTCTTCATTTTGTGATGAAAACACCAAAATGCAGCACTCATGTAACCATAATTCTATACATAAATATAGAAATATCTCAGTCATCCTACCCCGAGGACTTTGATAGACATGTTTCAAAATGTTAACGTAAGCTTGGAAAAATATCACTACGTTGCAAATACTCAATGAGCAGTTTTGCAGTTGGGCTCTAGTATATTTATAACTCAGTCCTGACACCTAAATCCTACTCGCAAAATTACAAGTAGTGGAGTGGATATGAACACAGAGTGAATAGATTTTTTTAGTAACAAGTCAGAGAACTTTCATTCTCTGAAATTTTAGACCTAATTGTATGGAGAGTGCCCTCATGACGAGTTTTTGAAAGATGGCTGCCATTGCCCTATCACGACTAAAGAGCGATTTATGTGATGCCTTGTTATTTATTCAAATCTGCTCCTTAAGCAAAGACAATCATTTGACACGATAACATTTTTTAAAATTGCAATTCATCGGCTATGCCGCTCCACTAGTCCTTAAACAAATTGTGATTGCCAATCATATTCCATTAATCAATTGTATGTTTGTATGTTACACTGAGGAAATTGAGGATGAGTGCTAAATGCCATTGGGCTGTGGGCCTAACTACATCGTGTATATAAACCATGTAAAGCCTAGCAATAGATTTTTCTAACTTTTTGGTTCCACCTTAACAAATTAAACGTAGAACGGGATGTAAGTAAAGATTTATCAAGAAGAAGCTTTCTATTTAAGGCATGTGGGTTGGTAGATGAAACTTAACACATGTTTAGGGTAAGACACTCCAACTTTAACTAAAGATGCCAGGCGGGAATTAACGAAGAACGTTTATACACCGAGGTATTGAGTATATAATATGAAATAAATAACTTTCAAAATGTAACAGCTGCAGAGTGTGGTTTGATTTACTGCTGTATTTTGTGGCTTAAACCGATACATAGCTGTAAAATCACGTTCATAATTCTCTAATTTAAGAGGAATATCAGCTTTCTAGAAGCTTCAAAAAGAAATTGAGAGCACCTCTAGATTGGGAAAAGAAATAGCGACTGATAACAATCTAAACTAGTAAAATCTCTATTTACCTAGAGAATATCTTGGAAAAAATACAAAAAATTGCTTGATGATTAGTAAAAATTCTTTCTTTTCAAATGAGCATATCATAATGATCCAATAAACCTTTGTGTAAGAGGCCTACCAGAAAGGAACTCTTTGAAAAAGTAGTAAAACATATGAGTAGAATTGCAAGCTGTTGCATTTATGTGGAAGTAATTTATAAAAAATAAAAAAAGTTCTTCCTAGAAATTACATGTGCTTGATTTGAATAAATGTACATGAAAATTAAAAGCAAAAAAAAAAGCAGTTAAAAAGCAATGCTGGGCTATTGGCTGTCGGTCTCGCGAGCTTTCGGTCTAGTCCGGGATTTCCCACGCTTCATCGTTATTATATACAAGCGATGTGAGCATGGGACAAGTAGCTACATGCAACTTCATTAGGCATACATTTTCTTTAGATTCAGCCTCATTATTCATGTCATAGTTAACATTCTATTTGTGTTTTGCTTCTGTGTGTAATATATCAATGTTCTTTGTAGCTCCCCCTGTTATAAGCACGTTGATCTTCAAATGAATGTTTCATAATGCTAAACCCAAAGCTAATTTATGTTTTACTGTCTTGATGCGTATGAATACAATATATGTGGGCATGTCGGTGTGGCCTGTGTGTGTGCGTGTGTATGCGCTTGCAAAGGTGTGTGATTTCTGCCATGCCAAGAGGCTCATTGGAATGACAATTATGCCGCGGTAATCAACGTCTGTCTTGTCCCTGGCATGGTGAATAAATGCATAAGTGTTGCCCTTTCAATGTTGAATTCAGTGTAGATTTTTGTAACAGGGTCGGAGATAATAATAATAATGAACGTTATTTGTTTAGCGCACTAACACAAAGTAAGTTCCTATGCGCTTAGAAAGTAGGAAATAGAGATGAAAATGTTATGCCTGATACATGAAAATAATGAGTTACAAACAACAAAACGATTGGGGAGGGGGTGGTGGGGGTGGTGGGGGTGGAGGGATGGTATAAGGGTCAAAATGGACAATGATATAGCCCAATATAATAAGTAAAGCTTAAGACTAACGCAAGTTAGAATGTAACTATTATTAGTTTTAAAAAATGTCATATATGCAAATAGGTTCTATGCATGAGCGATTTCCATAATCAATACTTGGTATAATCAGTTTTAATGTTCTTGCCAATTTTATAAAGAGACTAATGAACAGGAAAGGTCGGAGAGGTGTTTTGTTTAATTATGTATCTTTGTGACGAGGATAAGAAATTTCGAAAGGCAATGGGGCTTAGATCGTCACGGTTGAGATATTTGGACAAGACAAATCCATAATGTAGCGATGGATATATTTATATATCCATTTAGGCTATATTTATAGCCTAAATAAATATCAAAATGCTGTGTTTGTATTCAAATGTATTAAAGGTAATGCACCATCATCTTTTGCCACTATGTTCCAAACTAACTCTAAAATTCATAAATATAATACTCGAAATAGTCTAAAGTTACACATTTGGAATATTGATAAACAGTACATGCAACAATCGGTAAGGTATACAGGGCCCATAGTATGGAATTCTCTTCCATCCTCTCTTACTCAATATGTTTACTTAAACTCATTCAAGAAAAAACTTAAAATATATCTATTATCCCTATAATTTGTTTTAGTTTAACACCTATTTTAAAATAAAATATAATTTGTAAATAACCATAAGAGAGAAAGAAGGGGGAGGGGGGAGGTGGTGGTGGGGGTGGGGGATGGGAGGGAGGGAGGGAGGGAGGGGGGTAGAACAAATACATGCGCAATACTCATTGTTATGTTATTATATCTGTGTAATTATTTTATTAATTTGGACGCCTGAATCAACAAGCTAACATAAGCTTCCTACAGGTGCTCCCTTTTCCTTTTACTCATTTTCACAGTTTGTTTAAATTAATTTAATTTAATGCTCATGATTTGTATATTTTAAACTGTTTGTACTTTATCACATGTATATATTTGTATGTTTTTTTAACGGAAATAAAGTCTTTTGAATTGAATTGAATTGAATTGAATTTGAATTGGATATTCTGAAATCAGGTGCATGATGGACATTAGACGCGCATGATAGACCAAGAAAATCAAAGCAGATTGAAGAGGGGAAAAATAGAACTCTTAAACCAGACTTTCGATCGAATTCACGATACACTAGTCTAATGACGGGAGTTAGGGTAGATGCATCATGATCATCAACATCTTTTGACCATTGGGCATCATGCATGTCATAATGAGCATTGGGTTCGTCAGCATGCCAGATTATTAGCATCTTGTTTGTCATGCTCGATCATCAACTTCTTTATCATTCGATCTAGCTCATCTTAAGTTTCCTTTATCAGGGTTCAACATTCGATTCACATAATGTCTGTTGATTTTCTTTGTAATATTTAATATAGAGTTATTTTGTAGGCGCCTTGAGAATCTGTAGACATTGGTGTAAGGGCGCTTTGTGATTGGTATCATTGTTATCGTTAGTATTATTATCATAAATATTGTTGTCGTAATTATTGTTTTGAGGTTATATTATCATCGTTATTAGCATTAACGTCATTACTTCTATTATATCTATTATCATTTTAAGAATTATCATTTTTAGTAGTATAAGAGTGTTTTTTGTACCATTACTACTACTACAACAACTATTTGTTTTGTCATCATCATAAATTAAATATGCATAGCAATTAGTTCTTAATCTATTCAAGTAAAAACAGTGAGATTCATTAAGATGAACAAACATCATGTTAGCCTGCCTACATAATTGTTTATCAGAAGGGGACCTTACCTTTACAATTAACTTACTTGATTTACATTTTTACAGGAAATGCAGGAAGAGAAAAATCCCAAAACAACGTGCGGGTCCCTCAACGACGTCAACCGGGGAATCCGACCTGACCAACCGTACCAGAGCTCTCCCACAACCTCCCATTGACGAATCCCAACATGTTACCCGATCGCCTCATAACCTCAACAACTCCCCCACATATCATCCCTCACTTGAATTAACTGCTTTACAGCGCGGGAACAATAATTACGCACCAGGTAATCCGTATCACTACGCAATCAGTATGACTCATACACATCAATCAACTCCAAACATGGATAATCCTGTGAATACTTATGAACTTGGAGAGAGCATAGATCGAAACACAAACGGTTCCGAGCACATGACGGAGATGATCCCCATGTTCAATCGTCCATTACCACATAGGCCGATATCGGTTGGTGTTCGCGAAGGCCCATCCCTACCTCCTCGAGAAAGACGTGGAATTCCCTCTTCTACTCTCTCTCCAAACTTGACACAAAATGCACGTTCAGACAATTCACACCTTGGGGCATGTTCCCTGACCTACAACCCGCTAACAAACGGGGAACAAGGTGAGACAGTCGACCGAATGCCACAAAAGTGTGCTATTACTAAAGAGTTTGTCGTAATAAACCCCTTTAAAGGTACAACCTCTAATGAAAATGCACACCATGGATATTATTCTGCAGATGACTTGGAACACGACGACGTACATAACGGGAGCAATTTTCCAATGTCACCGTCTAAATTAAACCCTTTTTACCATTGTCTAGAGGATGACGATCAACAGATGTGTAGCAATCATTGTGATACAGATGTTTTGATTAATAATGAAGGCAATGCTCACGATGACAACCTGGCTGATGTGATGGTTGATAATGTGCTTTACAACCCAATGGACTTCTAATTTGTTCTTACTTCACGACATGACTGGGATGATTGCCTAGAAGAGAACAATTATTTCAGGAACTAATCCCAAATGACGAGCTCGACCTACAAGCACGTGGAGTATAATTTGTATATGGGAAAGTACGTTCATGCTTCAATTAATTTATTATAGCATGCGGATATTTCGAAATGCTCGATATTATTCGTTTAAATTACTGCATATGTACGTACGTACATTTTTCAATGTAATTTTGTTTTCCTTATCCTACCTGGACTCTTCAATTTATGACAAACCATGTGTTAATGTTCTCGCAAATTTACATGTGTAATTATATATGTTATAAGTTTGATAACAGAGTTCAAATATTTGATGTGTAGTTTTTGATATTTACAACAATTCTATTTCGAATAAGTAGGTTTTTAGCCATCATGTTTTATTTTTTTCTTCAATGTTATTGATTCTGTTATATAATGTACATAAACAAAAAATTAGTTTGTAAATAACGGTTAAAATCTTAATTTTATAAATAATCCAGTCAAAGATTATTAAAATTTGAATTCATTATTCTTGCATGTACATTGTATTAAACACGAGGAATATCCAAGAAGATATACTAACAATTAAGGATCGGGAGCCTGTACAACAGTGGTAGTATTGTGATATAATCAACATTTACATTACCACTTGCGTGTATTAAGACGTCATGACATATGAAATAACTTATTTATGCAGGACAACTGAAAGTTATTAATGTTAAAATATATCTACACTGAAATAACAAAAACAAATTGTAAGCGTGTTTAAATTGTAGACAGGTGACATTTTTCAGACAAATTATTCTACATACATGTAGTTCTAAGGGATTGAACTTAATATTAGTTCCTATAAGGCCATGTACAGTGTTAGGTGATTAATCAGCGATATTCCGAATATAACATCAGTGGCATATGCAGCATGTAATGGGGAATGTGTAACCCCTTTCCAATATAGTTCCTAACCCCTTTCGAAGTCACCGCTCTCCCCCCCCCCCCCCCCAACAAAAAAGAAAAAAAGAAAGAAGGAAAGTAATATATATATATTATCAATACAACTTGCAATGTTTATAATGCACGCGGTATTGCATTTCCAACCTTGGTCCAGGTCCATGTAATATCTTATTCCCATCACTAAATCTGGATATGCCACTGGTTCTGTTCCTACGATGTAAGGTTCTGTAAAATGGCTGATACTCTTATAAATGTGTTTGCTGAGCCTGGAATCTGTAATAATAATAATAATAATACATAACATTTATTAGGCGCTTAATACTGATGTTTCTAAGCGCACAGTGTTCTGATTAAGAGAAGACTATAACCCGTAGAATTAGATTAGAAGAAAAAGCAAAAATACAAAAGTAACATAGATAAGGTAAGAAAAACAGTGGCAATCAACTAAATAAAGACAAATATGGTGCGCACCTCCATTTACCGACGCACAACTGCAATTTACAATTTGAAAAGATAGGTTTTGAGTAGAGATTTGAATTGAGATACAGAGGGGGCGCAGTGAATAAAGGCGGGCAGTTTGTTCCAGAGAGCGGGGGCAATAACTGAAAAGGCGCGGTCACCATACCGGGTGTTAGTGCGGGGTCCAGGTGTTAACAGTAATGTGGAAGATGAACGAAGTGTTCGTGACGACGTACGGGAACGTAGGGATATGAGATCGGAAAGGTAAGAGGGGGCTAAGCCATTGATAGCTTTGTAGCACAGGAGAAGAATTTTGAAGGATATGCGGTGGTGAATTTTAAGCCAATGTAGTGAGTTCAATATTGGAGTTATGTGCTCTGATTTACGCGAGAGAGTCACAAGCCGAGCAGCGCTATTCTGTACCCTTTGAAGTGGGACTAGATGTGACTGAGGGAGGCCAGAAAGAGAAGAATTACAGTAATCGATATGGGTCGATATATATAATATGTGGATTTTGTAAATTTAATTTAGTTTATCGTGTTCACTTCATATCAATGTACAATGTATATTGTAGAGGTGTCGTGGACGAGTGGATATGTCACCGGACTGTGGATCACAAGGTTCGCGGTTCAAGTCCCACCGCGGCACTAATATCCTTTGGCAAGACATTGATCTACATTTGCCACTCTCCACCCAGGTGTAAATGGGTACCCGGTAGGATGCGAACGCTAATGTGGTTAGATTAGCACGTGTGCGCTTGTGAAAAAGACGCCTGGCTGGAATGCTCCCCAGGGAGTGGAGAATGTGCATACATTGTGTGCGGGTAAGCCTGAATCCTATGACCGGGGTAATAATATATGTATCTGTAAAGCGCTTTGAGAGGGCCTTCGGTCCTGAAAAGCGCTATATAAGAACTAGCTATTATTTATATTATTATTATTATTTGTAGTAACGAGAAATCATGTATTCGTTTGTATCACCCTTCTGTCCCGCTAACTGCATTATTGGTGCATGTTCTTCAGTAATCCCAGCCAAACATCTGCATGTGACTTTTAGTTTTCCATTATTTATTTTAAGGAATATTTTGCGGATGACAAAAACACAAGGTACCATACAATGCCAATGTTAAGGCTCTCAAATTGTGGATTATTTTTGGAGGTGTCTATGAGCATGTGTTAATTGGATAGTATTCATGGAGTTTGCTGAAAATAGATATCATGCCATTTCCAACATTCTAAATCATGGAATGTGCCAGTAATCTCCAGTTCAACATCCCTTTCTTTATTTACAGACAAAAGTTAATAGCTTTTTACACGACGAGTTGTCTCGTGATTTTTTTAAGAGGCGCTTGAATATACAGTCGTCGTTTATGTTGAAACTTCAAATTCAAGCTGTCACCATCATGCTCCTATTTTATTATATGTCTGGTCACGCATCCATCATAAATCATCCCTTAAATCATAGTTCTTAATATCAGATCCGTTCTCCTCATTAACGTGCTAAAGAATGTCGTTGTCCCGCTTCTCTTTGTTGTTTATCTCATAGCATGCCATGAGGCTGCATGCACGCTATCGTTATAGTGCTTTGTACATGCGAGCAAACCATTGCTATGGTGCCATGTGCGTGCGTGCACACTTTCGTAGTAGCGGTTATTGTCCATGTTCATTGTAGTGTGCTGTGTGTTTTGCACGCGCTATTCATAAAACCATCGCGTTAATCAGATTATCTCAATATAAACTTGGCACTCCGTGATTTGGGGCTTGGCACAATAGGGATTAGCCCTGTGGCATGATAAGAGTTATTAAATAGACACTGTAAGCTGTTTCAATATTTTCATGTTAGTGTTTATGTTTTCAACGCTATTCTGTATGATGCATTATGTATGAGCTGTATTTGGTCGTGAGGCAGTCGCTTGCCTTTTGGTGGAAGGATTTTTCTTGTGTACTAACTTGAATTATATTAAACAACAATTCGTTGGTACATTTTTGTTTTCAGTTGTACACACACTTTGAAATTGTGTATATGTTTTCATCTACTAACAATAATCATTCGTTATTATTGGTGTATTTGAGAAATAAATAGCAAGAGTTTAGAAACACTTGTTATTCTAGTTGCTTTTGAACGAAACAAAATCGCCTTTATATTATATTTTCAGCCTCCCTGTGTCAACATGTATATATTCACACGCACTAGCATTTGCTAAGATATCACATTTGCACAACTATATAATGGTCACTAATGAAACGTATAATGGAATAGAGTCGAGATGGTGAAAGTATGATATAGAGTCGAGATGGTGAAAGTATGATATAGAGTCGAGATGGTCAAAGTATGATATAGAGTCGAGATGGTGAAAGTATGATAAAGAGTCGAGATGGTGAAAGTATGATATAGAGTCGAGATGGTGAAAGTATGATAAAGAGTCGAGATGGTCAAAGTATGAAATAGAGTCGAGATGGTGAAAGTATGAAATAGAGTCGAGATGGTGAAAATATGAAATAGAGTTACGGAGTTGATACTAGAGTGTTAGACCTCAAAAAGAGAGTGGGTGCTCTAGAAAAGTTGGTGATAAAGCATAGCGATGAATGATCCGTCACATGCGGCGTTACGGCATTTTACGACGCTAAACTACGGATTTATGGTGTGTATGTTTACTGTACAATTATGTTAACTTTTTTTAATTAAAAAAAAACATATTTACGATGAAATAATACAATAATGTGACTTGGGCTCTATTTCTCTAGTTAAAAATGTTTTGTATATTTTATCTCTGTTCACTAGTTACATGACTAAATTACAATTCTTATCTTTGTATTCAAATCTTGTTTGATGATGTTTTGAGAGAGTCCAAACATAGCCCTGAATTATATATCAAAGTGTTGTGTGAAAGTCCAAAGAACTCGGCGGTATGAACAGGTCAGAGTAAAACAAGCTACATTTGTCGAAAGGCTGTTGAGAGGTTCATAAACTCAATACACGATCAATAAGAAACAACGGTTCTATTACTGAAAAGAGGTAATTCAAATACAAAAGAAACTAGACCTATACAAAATCAATACCCTTTTATACACATAGACTGCAATACGCTTCCCCGTGTTGCCATGCGAGGATCACAGTATGGGTAAATACACGTTCCTTTATTTAGTTGATCGAACAATAGATATTGATCCAACCTACAACGCCGTTGTAAACGTTCCTTTAAAAGTCAAACACAAAGTATACTGGTAGAAAGAAAGTCAAAAAGTCCAAATTCCATAGACACTCGTGTTAAAAGTCAGTTCCACAAATAAAGTACCTATCCACTATTCAAAACGTCAATAATTCCTAAAGATCTTTAAGTAAAATTCAAAATGTCAAAATTCACATAGAAACACGTGTTGTAATTCACTTTTTGCTTGAAAAAAATCTACGTCCAACAGAGAAAATCACTAAGTAAAATGCATAAAGTCACAATCACATTGACACGCGTGTTATAAGTCAGTTTTTATCGAAAAAAATTACAAGTCCAAAATGACAAATCCCTAATTAAATTCAAAAAGTCAAGACCTCGTCAAGACCCCATAGACACGCGTGTTATAAGTCCGTTTTTTCTCGAAAATAGACTATGTCAAAGTTAATGTACACGAGTCAATTAGAAATAGTATAAGTACGAAAAAAATCGTGTATAAAACCTATTGCCGTCCCGGAACTCACTGCTATAACTACTAAGGTCTATGCAAAATGGTTGATATTCTTATAAATGTGTTTGATGAGCCTGGGATCTGCAGAAGTTTTTCAAACGGTAAAATAATATTTGGATTTGGATTTAATTTAGTTTATCATGTTTATTTTATATCAATATGTATAGTTGTAGTAGCAAGAAAACGTGCATTCGTTTGTATTATCCTTCTCTTCCGCTAACTGCTTTAGTAGTGGATATTTCCAGTAGTCCCAGCCAAACATCTCGATGTGACTTTTACTTTTCCATCATTCATTGAATGAATATTGTGCAGATAGCAAAAACACATGATACAATGCGAGTGGTGGATCATTTTAATGTTGTCTATGTGGAGTATGAGCATGTGCTGGTTGAATACTATCCATTGAGTTTGCTGGTATCAATATGCCATTTCTAACATTCTAAATCATGGAATGTGCCATGCAGTAATCTCCAAGGGGGGGGGGGGGGTACATAGCCTTTTTCCAATGGCAAATGACAAAAATCATTGACAAATATGCTGATAACCAATCAGAAGCAAGGATTTCAGTAGCTCATAACGAAATCCGTCATTTGTCACTGATGAAGAAAACAAATTGTGAAACGCCGCCCCCCCCCAAGTTTATGGCTTTGTAAATGACGAGTTGACTCGTGATTTTCAAAAGAGGCGCTTGAATATACAGTCATTTTTTATGTTTTAACTCCCACTCTCAACTTTCACCATCATGCTTCGTTTTTGTTATCATATGACAGGTAACGCATCCTTCTCAACCCTTAAGTTCACATATGCTTCTGAATTGACGTGTCTTTCTCCACACTTACGTGCCTAAAGAATGTGATTGTCCCATATGTCTTTGTTGTTTGTTACATATAACTTGTTGGCTCTTT